GTGTGTGTGTGTGATAGCGGGGTGTGTGTGGGGTGTGTGTGGGGTGTGTGTGTGTGATAGCGGGGTGTGTGTGGGGTGTGTGTGGGGTGTGTGGGGGATAGCGGGGTGTGCGGGGTGTGTGTGGGGTGTGTGTGGGATAGCGGGGTGTGTGTGGGATAGCGGGGTGTGCGGGGTGTGTGTGGGATAGGAGGGTGTGCGGGGTGTGTGTGGTGTGTGTGGGATTGCGGGGTGTGCGGGGTGTGTAGGAGAGCGGGGCTGAGCGGGAGAGCGGGGGTGTGCGGGATGTGCGGTATATGTAGGAGAGCGGGGGTGTGCGGAGGTGTGCGGGATGGAGGGGATGTGCGGGATGTGCAGGGCTGAGCGGGATAGGGGGGATGCGCGGGATAGCAGAGCCAGAGCTTCTCCCGCTGCTGCCACCACCGCAGCATCGCAGGCTTTGGGCCGCTAAGGCACAAACCGGCGGCACTGCGGGGCTGATGCGGTGGGCGTAGTTAGTAGCAAACGGAGCGAATAAGCTGATCTGCAGACTGGTAACAATACATTTATCTTTCAATGCAAGAGACGCAACAGGATTGCAGGGTGTGTGAGATTGGTATGGAGGGTGATTGTAGTTATTTATGATATGCAGCAAATGTTAAAAAAAAAAGCAGGGTAGGAGGCTGCTAATAAAGAAGACCCCGGGTCGGAGGTTGCTGGCAGCAGGGAAAAGGGCTTGGTGAGCAGGATGGGCTTTGGGTGACGTCCCGGAGCTCTGAGCAAACCTGGGCATACAGGACAGGAGACTGCAGTTGTATTTGCTGCCTCTATGGAAGGACAGCTCTGCAAAGCTGGGCAGCAAAACCCATCACGACTTAGTTGAAGCTCTGTAAAGATCTTCTGTAACATTCACATCTCTGGGCAGCTAAGGCAGGGTGAGGCATGGGCTGTGCCTCGCAGTTGTTGATGGGCTTCCTCCCCGAGGTCCATGGCGTGTCTGTGTCTTATTTACCTAATTACCGCCTGTGGGGATAGGCTGTAGAGCTGGTACCACTTGAGACCGGAGCATGTGTCTGTAGTCAGCAGCACTTGGGCTAGCACCAGCAACACATGCCAATCTTGGTTACAGGCATCTGCCCAAATACAACGATAAGGAGCAGCCAAAAAGCGTGCAGGGGTGCGTCCACCTCTGCAGGACAGGGTGAGGAGTCGGTGGTGCTCCGTGGCTGCTTCCACAGTGTACCTGAAACAGCCCCCTCCAGCTGAGCCTGTGGCATGTGGATTTACTCTCGGTGCATCTTACATCTGGAGACGAGCAGCGTGTGGCTCGTGTGCTGGATCAGTGCCAGGGTTAAGCCCCCAGTAGTCGTAGCTGGATCCCTGGTAGCACTCATGATGGGAGGTCAGGCGCAATGAAAGAGCCCTAGTAGTTTGAGAAGGAACACACCAGCACCTCTCCTGATGGGAGGTCAGGCACAGTGAGCAGGAGGGCCCCCCTTGTGCTGGCAGCTCCATTCCAGTGTTTGGCTGGACTCCAGAAGATTAAAATAGAGCCTTAGACTGTCCCCTCAGCAGCACTGCCAGCCAGAGCCCTGACAATCCTGGGGTTGTACTCAAACGTGAGTCCCTGGGGAGCGTGGGCTTTACCCTAACAGCTGAGGCACTGAGCAGGTCGAAGCAGGCAGGGTTATTGCTCTTGTGACTCAGACTTGAGGAAAAGAGGGATCAGGATGGAGACGCAAGAGAGCAGGGGATCAGAATGAAACCACAAGGCACAGAAGGGGAAAGGAGCAAGTGTGCCCCAGAAGAAAGCTTGAAAAAAAATCCTTATTCTGCTCGGGCTGGGTAGAAAGCATCTGCAGCCATGAGAATTGGGCATTAAACTATTCAAGCCCCAGTCCTGATTTAGCTCCTTTCTGCAACCATATTGGGAGAAAAGAAGATAAACAAAAAGAAGAGCAACATTTTCTTTTCTCAAACATTCTAAAAAGCAGTATGGGAAAAGGCAAAGGCCATGTAGGTTCTCATGAAGAATCCCTGTGTAGGTGGTGAGATCTTTTGTGGTCCAGAAATGATCACAGCTGAGGGGAACTAGAGCCACATTCTCATGCATGTGTGACTAGTATTAAGCGCTTAAACAAAACGCCTGATTTTCAGAAGTGGGGAGCACTCCCAAGTGCTCCTGAAATCAACAGCAGTGGCAGATGTTGGCATTTCTTACAGAAGGGTGTTCCACCCAGTCATCTATTATGGATTTATTTATCACCACTTGATGAAGGCATCCACATTTGAAATGTTTTGCTTCAGGATTTTCAGAAAGTGGTTGCAAACAGTGCTGTACAAAAACATTTTGGCACTGCCTTTTTTCCCCTGAAAAATCAAATGTGGTTGTAATTTTAAAATAGTTTATTTTGAAAATATCACATTGATTCAGTCATGAAAAATGCCCATATCAGCAAACTTAGTGATTTTATTTTGATATTTCCAAAACAAAGCATTTTATTTACTGGTATAAAATACTGTTTTGTCTTTAAAGGGACATTATGAGTTTATAAAGCTCAAAAATTGCTGCTTTGTTTACAATTATTTTCTTTGTATGTGAGCAGCAGAGCAGAAGATTCTACCCGAATTTTGTTTTCTGTGTGTTTGTTACATTAAAGATAACTGGAAAATCAGAATAATTAGATCTGTTGTTTTCACAGGTGAGGAGCAGAAGTCCTACGATTAATGAGGACTAATCAATTATTATTAACCAAAAATGCTAAGAAAACATCAACTTTTTAATAACCCTTTTCTAAATAATTTGAAAATCAAGTTTGAAAACAGTCTGGGGAAGAGAATGGCAAAGCTTATTAATAAAGATTTTTTTGTGTGTTTGCAAAACAAACAACCCGAATCAAACCCAGAGCTTTTATTTAAAGACAGAATTAAAAAAATAAGTTAATAGTTTGCTCAGAGAGATGACTGTTTATATAAGTTAATACACTGGGATGGAGCAGCGAAATGGTTACCTTCTGCTGTCAGGACAACGAGTCAAAAACATGCCTATAAGAGTTTCACTTCTTTCCAGTTGGTTTAAAAGCATTTCAGGAAGACAGCATAGAACACAGAGGCAGTTACAGAACAGTACTGTCCTTCAAGAAACCATGGCAAACTTGTTATCAAAGTCTGTAAGAATTGCACTGTTCACCTATTTACCTTCTTATATAAAGAAGAAATCTCAGCTCAGGGTAAGCAAAACATACAAACAGCCAGGCCCTAAAAACACATGGGACATGCAGAAATTCACCCAAGTCATTTAGTAATAAGTACATGCACAAGATCCTTTGTCTTGCAGTGCTTTTTCTTGTTAATTTCTGTGGTTACTGGACACCACTAATTCCCTGCATTTCATTTTTTTCTTTTACAATGTAGTAAATGTGGAAACAATCTTCATGTTTTGAAATTAAAAGTCAAGGAAGCAGAAATGACTGACAGTCATGGTTTATCTTACATTTTAAGAATTGTTTTCCTCTGCTGCTTAACCCCACTTTGGCTGCCTCTTGGTTAAAATATTTCCCATGTGTGAAAATATCCACAGATACTCCAGTAAGATGCTGTTACTCTGAAGCTTGCAATGTGTTGGCATGTTATGGCTGAATACAGAATTTGTCAACGTTTGCATTACCACATACCCTTGTGCACAAGCTATGGATAACCAAGGATTTTGTAAGGATGCTAGACAGAGAATTGTGTCCCTGCTCTGTCACAAGCTCTCCATGTGACCTTGGGCATGTCACTGGCTGCAGTTATGGCATTATCTGTACAAAAGGGAGAACAGTACATGGAAGGTTGAGAGGCTCAGACAGGATGGTAGTTAAAATACATTAAGCAACCTCTTCATCTTTGAAACAAAGTAAACAGTGACCCAAAGCAGAAATCCTTCCAGTTTCAATTCAGCATTCAAAGTAGAGTTGTTCTTATTTCTCTTGCTTTGATACAGTAACCCAATTTTATACCACATCAGACATGTCATGGTGCTTTTATTTCCCGTGTACAAAAATATGTGAAAAAGAGGAATGGTAACAAGAGAGCTTGCTTCACTTTTAGAAGGTGATTCCCTCAGTTGGTATTTCTTGACACAAGCAGATGATACATGGCCACAACACAGTGTGTTTGCAGCGTGGCTTGAGAGCATGGATTCACACCAGCACTGCAGAGGGTTCTGCTGGCAGTTTAAGCACAGAGCTGAAAACTGCAGACCCTGTGTGACAGTCCCCAGGCTCAGGGAAATGGCTCAGCCCGTGGGGTTGTGGTGCTGGTCACTGTTTCCAGGCAAAGATGCTCCTGTGTCAGCAACATCTGCAGTTGTGACACACAGATTACAAAGATACCACTTCAAATCTGACAACACAGATATCAGTACTGTATTATAAAAATGGAATTTAAATTTATGTTGACTTTGATGGGAAGTCCATTTACCCACAACCTTCAGAAGTCATTCCTGTTTCATTTAGTTTTCTGAGTATGTAGACCAAAATCAAAATTTGGAGACCATATTTGGAAGCTTGGCCTTAGAAAATGTCACTTTCCAATAAAAGTGCAAGAATTCAAGAGAAGAACACAAATCACATTCAGATTTTCATGGGTTGTAAAGTTCACATACATGGGTTCCTGATGATGGTCAAATAGAAGTATTTGAAGAAGTAGAGTTTAAAGATTATACACAAGTACGCATGGGATTTAGGATTATCTGAGTGTATATGCTAGCATTTTTTTTGTTAGTGAGTGGGAAGACTTGAAGTACATAATTTTAGAAGATCAGAGGAGTTGTAAGAATGCAAGAGCACTTCAAGTCTTAAAAGAGCTAGGTTTCTATGATATGAGATCAAACAAAAAATCTATGTTAAGAACATTTTTATGACAGCGATTCACTTGAATAAACCTAAGATTTCTTTTACCAACCAATCCTTTTTTTTTTTCTAAAATAGTATTTAATATCTGAAGTTATAAAAAATATTTGTAGTCTTGAAAATTATTTTTATTGTCTATTTTATGTACTATACATGCCTCTTTCAGGAATTATTAAAGAAGCATGAGTCATACGGCACTCATTTACTCTTGGCTCATGGCCATCTTCAATATATATTTTGCTATTTTCAAACCATTTGTAGGTACATATGCATGAAAATATTGTTGTGTCCAGTCCCAAGATCACAGTTAGCACAGCAAAAATTGTTCATCTATATATTTACAAAGTTCTAAAGCACATAAAATTGTGCCTTATTTTGTAGCAAAGTTTAAACTTTAACATACGCTGGGTTGCATATATAGCAACAAGTTACAATAAAAATCTGAACAAAGACAACCAATAAACAGCCAAATTGCTATGTACAAACAAGGCAGGAAGCAATTAAACACTGCCTTGCACATTTCACTTAAATTACTTTTTCTCTGAGGGGAAAAAAACAAACAACCCCTCTTTCCC